CATAATTGAATGTTGTGAAACATGGTTAACTTCACCAGTGCAAGAAACGTCTGAGATAACTGAAGATAGGAATTAATAATCACAATATCACAGACAAAAACTGTTGCATTAGACAATATAAAATTAATGTAACTCCTTGGGACCAAGTATTCATGGTAGCACATGATTCAGTCTGGTAAATAGGCAGATGTATGGGAGTAATCATAAAAAGGGAGGGATTTTGCCATTCTACAACTAACAAGGTTGTGGAGCTGCTTTGTGAGGCAGATCACATCAATGAATTATAACCAGTTCCTCTGCCAGGAACAATCAGAAGTCATTGAGGTAAGGGCAGAATTGTCCCCTTTATGAATAATATGAAAGAAATCCTACTTTCAGAAATGGCATGCTTTTCTGTGTTTGTCTTTTGCTATTGCAGAATAGCATTAGTGCCACTCAAAAGTCTTCCTGTTGAAAAAGAATTTTAATTAGACTGTAGTTGGTTAATCTCATGCCTTCACAGGTTGTATCAAATTAAAGAAAAGGGGCTGATCCTACAAGATGCTGAGCACTTCTTTAAAGAATCCCACAGAAGTGGATGGTGCCCAGCATCTTTTGGGATCCAGAAGATTCAAGTTTCCTTGTGCAGCCTAAACCTCCTCTGAACACAAAGGAAAAATGTATTGCAAAAAAAAATGTGTCTATTTTTATGCTATGGGCTCAGGCACGTTCCCATTGAAGTCAATTGGAGTTTTTTCATTTTCTTTAATGGAAGCTGGATTAGATCCCATTCTTGCTTTGAGTTGAATACTTCGTTAGTAGAGAAAACAGGCATGTGATTCAGGAAATCTTACTCTTTCACATAATCATTTCTCTTGGAGGTAGATCCACAGAAAATCAATGATTAAGTTTTGAAGAATCAGGCCCCAAATTTCCATAAAATTAAAAAGTAGAAGATACGCTACAACATGGAACAACTTGATGTTTACAGCACATTTACAGGGTTAAATCCCTTTGTTTTGAGATCATGAGGAAGAGATAACCCTTGAACTTAAAGGTTAGCTGTCCACAGTGAATTGTATATACACAATATGAAATACTTTTTATAAGGCCACTTTATCCAAATCCATATAGATAAATGACCCCCCTTTCACACTTATTTTCAATGAAATATTACTGCTTACCTATCACCTTTCAGGTGTACATATGTTTAAAAAAGCTGGTATAGTAAGATTTCAGAGGCACTTTAAACAATAACATTGACTTTTAAAAATAATTATAAATCTATTATTATAAGCAGAAAGAATGACTCTGGTTTAACTAATGAATCATATTGATAAATGAAATGCTAATATCAGTAGGTGAACAAATCCCTCTCTGCATATAGGTTTTGCTTTGTCACTGTACTGTATTCCATATAAGTAGAACAAAGGCTATATGCATAATGAGTCCATGAAGTAAAATCAGCAAAAGTATAGTGGGGGAGGGGAAGATGGAAAATATGGCAATCAATGTAATGACCAAGGAGTAGAAAATGTAAATGTTTAATGCCTGCTCAAGCTCATTTTTCTGTCAGCTCTTTGAATGGGTAGACTGGGGCTCTTGTAAGGCCAGAATGAAAACGTCTCCCTTTTGGGCCAAACTGATTATTAATATTATTTAACAGGATGTATAGTGAAGAATGTCCATATATACCTTCACTGCCACAAATGTTTATCTTTATTTTTAAATAAAAGAAGCGTGGTTATAATTAGCAGCTAGGAAAAAAAAAGTCCTGCTACTTGTGTTTTCAAATAGCTTTCCTTTTTTGCCCTGCCTCACTGCTTTCATGCCAGCTTCCCATTTCTCAGCCATGATGGAAGCTTAGAGTACAATAGAAGCACAGAACAATATGAATTACAAATACGTGTATATCTTACTGCATGGCCTTTTTTATGGACTCTTAAATGAACATCTTTCTAAAAATATTCTCTACTGTAAATTACTTCTGATGACAATACCTTGTAATGATACTTTACAAAACAAACAAACAAATAAATGCACAAAACTCCTTGACAGTCATGTTAAACTGAATGGTTCAGCACCTCTCAGTGAATTATTTTTTTAAAGGACATGAATTTCATTTAATCATATATACTGTGTAGAATATGTTTTAACTGCCCATGCTAGCTGCTTGAGTATTTATATATAATGAATTTGTGAATAAATGTAATTTAGTGTCTTGTTTCTTAGAATCAAAAGAAATACAAAAAAAAGTATGTATTGGTACATGATAAGTATATCTTCTGTTATACTTTATATTACTGTACTCTTGTTAAACTAATTAATATCCATCCCTGAAAAGCCATTAAATAACTTTTAAGTATGAATCTCTGGATAAAGAACAATATATATGGAATATCAGATTTTTTTTATATAAGGGTCTCATTCTACAAACACACGTGGGAGAAACTTTACTTTTAGGAATAGTTCATGAGATCAAATGGGACGAGACATGTGAGTAAAGTTACTCGCATGCAAACATTTGTAGGATCATGTCCTTATTCTATAAATATTTATAAAACAGATCATTGATAAAAAGTATCATCTCTTATAATTAAACAAGGAAGCTCCATCAGAGATATCTATGTGATACCTATAAAATGTACTATTGAATGGCTTGCTTTAATTTAAATTTAGCTGAATATGAATGGTTTCTTTTGAACAGTTTAAAACCTTTTAGTTGATATCACGTGAAAAACTAAAAGGAATAACCTTTTCTTCAGCTTGTTAACTCTTTTGTGAAATATCTTAATATTGTCAGTGTGAGAATACTGAGCTTAATCAGCAAAATTGACAGGGATTTATGAACTTTTTCTTTCCATATTCATTTACATATACACAAGCATATATATGCACATAAATTCATTTTATTATAGCCATTTTACACAAACTGAACCTTAAGTAGTTGAAGACTAAAAAAGCCAATCAAAATATTCTTCATTTATCCATCAGTCCATACACCTCTTAAAATTGTTTCTTTTAAAAAATAGCTAAATTATGGAAATGCAGACCACATTACAGAATATTTGCCAGTTATATTCTTGATTCTTATTTGAAATTCCCACAAGAATATAGGCATGACAGTAATATAAACCATAGAAAGAGGCAAAAAAGTAGAACACAGGGACTTGTAAATAAATCCATGAATATCAAGAAGCAGAGATGCTAAGATTATGCATTTTACAAGTACTGTTTCTATGCTTGTAAACCATAAGGCCAGACATTTGTATGATGCAGTATTGCCAGCTCTGCAGAGAGAGAGAGAGAGAGAGAGAGAGAGGTGGGAACAGGCAGACACAATAAAGCATAACAACATTCCTGCATGTCTAATAGCTTAAATATGCTATGCCTCACTATTTTCACACATTACGAGTAATATCAAAGAATCAGTTAATATTTCATCAATAGTTCATCTTTGAACCAAATGCTTTTAACAAAAAAAGATTTGTAGCTTCAGTGGGTGGTGGAAATGAAATTTTTAGAGTAACCATATTTTTAAAATGCACTGTTTGTATATCACACATTTAACATGGTGCATGCCAATCATAGCATACTAGTATTATATTATTTATATTTTAGCATTAGCTTATCTTATTTACTAGGTAAATGAATATTTAGATTTATAGTTCTAACTTCCATTTTTTGCATAATTTTAATGTAAAAGAAAACCCTTAACTGTCATATTTTTTGTGATATTATTTGGATTTACGGGGCTTGTTCTGTAGAAGTATAGGAAGGTTTTGTTTGTTTGTTTGATGAACACTGTGGCTTTAACAAAGAATGACTGTATTTTCTTAACAAAGAAGATGAAGGCTGTATATATTGGTTACAATAGAATAAACAGTTTCCAGATCTCTTAAATCCACAATATATGTAGTGTGTGTCCTGAGTGGCTTTTGTTTTCAATGTCTTTTGTAAGCTTTTAGGGTTTTTTCTGCATCAAATGTCAAGTTAATTTACAGGGTGCTATTACTGATATGTTTCCTTGGTCTGTGGTTTTCTGTGAAAGGCAGGCAGCTGAGACCAAGTCTTAGGATGGAGGGGGAGGGGCAGAAGGAGAACCCATAACACATACAGTGTGCCAGTGTCTTTAAATTGGCTGCCTATATGACAGCGGGCCAAGGGAAACCTCTAGCATTCATTTGCATGCTGAAGAATATCCAGGATTAAACTGAACTGATTTTCATACAGGATTTAGACTTGACATTTATTATTCGGTTCACAGACCTCTTGAAGGAAAGTTTGTTTTCTACTCATAGATGAAAAATCTTCTAAGATAAATAAAGGCTGGCTTAGTAGTAACAGTAAATAAATATCTTTCCTATATTTCATATGAATTTATCTTATGTGATTACCAGACATATGTTCACCACCAAATTATTGCATTTTGTTCCTTAGCAACTCCAAAGAACAAAATCTATCACATGCACTATGTAGCATTTATAAAATGTGCACATTTAATTCTGGAAGTTTATTTTCCATAAATGAAAATAGACAGTTGGCTTTAAAAACAAATTAAAATAATTTTTGGAGCAATAGCTATAAATAAATATATGGACATATTTAATTTTACACCTGCCCCATGTCTTTCTGTAGATAGATTGATTTTTCTGCATACTGTATACATCAATTAGTAATTTTATACACAGTACGTAAAATCTGAATGACTACTACAGAAAATCCATATGTACTGATGTTATTCCATACCATTAGTTCAGTTTCATAATCTGATAGACACATAACATATTTCAGTAATGTTTAGCATTCTAGTCTGAGTTATTAATAGTAATAAAAACTCATAAACGTATATTTTAATAACATTTTAAATAAACTAAGCTTTTACTTTTAATGAAGAAATGTAAAATGCATTAATATGTCGCCCGTCTGAAAGAATATATTAAAATATTTGGCCACGATTGTTTAGGATGCTCCAAATATCACTCCTCATCACTTTGAAACAGGGTACTCAACACCTTGTGCAAGATGCTCATCATCCTGGAGGCCTGGTGACTTTGTAAGTATGTATGGAATGGAACCATTTGTAAATTTTTAGTGTTCTTTGAATAATATTTAAAACATATGCAATCTGAGAACAGAAAATAAGGGCTTAAAATTGACCCAATTTAAATGGATGGTTGTATTGATACAGTAAAGTTCCAATTGATTGTATTTGTATGCAATATTGTTATGTACTAACATTCCAATATACATTGAAAATCTGTAGGGGAAGATTCTCAACTGGTGTAAATTGTAAGATCTCCATTGGCAGTGGATTGCTGATAACTTACAGCAGCTGATGATCTTCCCCAGAATGTGTATGTTTTGGGCTGTTCTTGTAAAGCTCTGAGCATGTCAATGTAAAACCAAGATGGGTTGAGAACACTGCACCTTTCAGGTTTGGACCCCTTCAGAACGTAGAACTGAATAGTGTAAATATCAGCTAGTCCATGCCAACTGTTTTATGCTAAATAAATTTTCACAGTAAACCTGGGTATACCTCAATTATACATTGAGATATATATAATATGACATAGTTACACATTCTGATATATATAATTTTTGGGGGAAAAGTGAGGACAGTTGCACCAATGCTTAATTTTGATGGATAGTATGACAGACTGTCAATTATTTTACTATTTAAAATATAGCTTTATTGAGATATATTATTTAATATAGATATAATACATCAAAACACGTATAGCACTACATATATTCCCTTCTTAAGTAAAAGAACAGTTTTAGGGTCATTTTTGCAATGAGATACATTAGCTTATATAGTATCTCTATCTCTTTCTGTATAGATACAACATATATAAAACATAACATTTGATAAAGCCCACTTTAAATACCATTGAGATTTTTCTCATATTCAAATATTTCATTACTTTCTGTCCAATTTCTACTTTTAAAATTGTAATTTAATACGATGACAGAATCCAAGATGAACTCTAGGAGAACCACAACTCCAGCACATTAACTAAGATGGGTTTGTGGGAGAGCAGGATTGGGCCTATATCCTTTTCGGAAATGCTGTACCTTAAACCCATAGGACATGGAAGAGTAAGACAAAAGTATGGAAAAATCTTTCAATTTAAGTACACAGTGGCAAATTATGCTTATTATGTAATGAACTGCAGACATTCATTTAATGAAAAATCAATAAGCTTTATTCAAAACAAGCAAAATTACAGATTAGCACCCTTGTTTAATCCTTTATCTTGGCCTTCAATATGCTAGGTTTTTTTCAATATAAAGATATAGACCAGAATTATCTTTTTCTAATCTAAAGGCTTTGTACAGTATTGATATTGCATATTTTAAGTATGAACATTTATTAAGGCATGTGCTTGTCTAAAAAACATGTACTTTTTGCAAAGTAATTAATTTTAAAGTAATATACAGTGATAAGCATTAGCAGTGTAATAGACAAGTATACATTTCTATGGTTCTCTGTTTTGTAAAAAACTAGGCTCTTCAGTGCTACTGTAGCATACTAATGTGTAGTATTATCCATTAATACTTTGAGGCCTGATTCAAGCATCTTTGCATTGCACTGTCCATTATCTCGTGAATAACTTCACTGATATCAAATAAAGTCAATGGAGTTGTGATAATTTATGACAGCAGAGGATCTGGATCTAACAGTTATTCACAACAAATATTTAGAAGAGCAATGATGAATCATTATTGGTAAGCACGAACCTGCTCGATTAGGCCCTAATTAAACTCTGAATTAAAAATCATATTCAAAACTCTAGGAGGTTCAGTAGCTATAGAGAACATTTCAGTATGCCACAGTTGCCAGTAAATAATTTAACATTATTGTTCCAAAAGTCTTGGGCTTAAAATACAAAGCGATGTTAGGGTGATGTTGCTAAATCATGCTGTCAGGTGGGCAGTCAGAATATTGGAGCAATTAGACATAACAGATTCATTTTGGAACATACATTGAAACATACAAACATACATTGAAAATGTTACTACTGTAGTTTTGTAGCCATAGTAACATAATACAAAATACCTATAAAAGTAGAGCTTTAATTTTTTTAGTAAGTAAATCATCCTTCCTTCTTGTGTATGGCAGTTTGATAAATATATATAAAAAGAAATAAAAATGGAGGTTTAAAAAGTGGTATGTTGTGTATTCAATTTAAAAAAATATTCAAATTCCCAAGAGAGCTCAAGAAAATATTAAAAATACTATAGAAATAAAAAGGATAAGATATTTGTCACTCTCATTTAAATTGATGTATGCTGCTGTCCTATAAACGTCACATCGGATAACCCTGAAAAATTACCATGAATCTCCATAATTACGCATATTCATGATGGTGTTTTGCATAGCACTAGCAGCAGACTGTATGTGGAGAGATGGGGAGGGCTGAAGAAAAACTGAATGATTTGACAGACTAAAATTATTATCAGCATCCTAGAAACAGACACAGCAACAGTTCCATTTGGTTTGGTTTGTAAAAATAAAACAAAACCCACAGTGGTACTCGTAGTATAATTACATAAATAAAAAAATTCTACTACATATTTTGTCATAAAATGTTAACAAGGATAAACTGCTGAGGCATGCCAGTGCTAATTTAAAGGTTCTTTTTTTTACTATTGACAGTTGAAGACAGAACCAGCAATGAGAAAAGCAAAGGAATATTTTTCAAAAATGTCTTGTTTGTTGCATTTCCTATTTTTTTACATGATGCAGATGAGCCGAGTGTGAATTATGTAGGTACGTTGTTGTTTCTGTGACAAAGATGTAGCCCAAGCAATATTCAGTAAATTGTTAAAAGGCTATGAGAGATAGAAAGGTTGTCCTGTGTCTAGCTCAATAGGTTTTTGTGCTGAAGCGAAGAGCAGAGTTAATCAGGGGCTCTAGAAGTAATTATCGACAGAATTTGGGTAGTACAAATGCTTGGGTAAACAGCGATTGTTCTTTCCACAAGATTCCGAATAGAAACAACAATACTGGTATTGTCCTCCACTTCTCATTAAGGGGATTCAGAGATGGAGCTGAACACTCTGAGGCGGATGGGAAACTGACAGGCAAACTGTGCTCTGAACGAATCTCTCATGATCCCACTACAACAGGCTCTGGCTTTTGGCATCAGCAGTGCCAGCTGCATTGGGAGAAGCCAAGCCTGTCATACTATCTTCTCATCAAATCTTCAATATACAGAGGCAAAAGCATAGTTAGAGCTTAATGAAGAAACAAATACAAAAGAGAAGATTAGGCCTTGTTAACACTTGCATTCATTTGTCCTTGTAAAAATTGCAATAAATGGGTTGCTTTATAGAACTCATTCTTTTTCTAAAAAAAATAGAGGAAAGTTATGTTGATGAAGTGTTGTTTTTCTAAATACTTTTTTTAGATCATGTCATTGGCATATAAACATAAACTAGCAAATTGCTTTGTCAAAATATCCATTTGAACAGTTTTGTCAATGACAACTGTCAGAGTCCATAAACATACTTTAAAAATGTTGATATTCATAATATTGTACCTTGTTCCATCTAAAGTGTTTATTTACATACTTTTCTAAAAATTGTTTGCTTCTGGAAAGTAATCTCATGGCACTTTGTGTTGTTATTCAAGACAATCAGTTCTTCAAGGCTAATTGTTTACATTTTGATGGCTCCAGAACTTACTTCATGAGTAGTCCCACTGATTTCAATAGTATATATATGGGATAAAATACTACTCACTGTGATCAAGTGGTTCATAATTTGGCTGCCTAATTCTATTTTACCTCCATGAGCTACATTTATTATGTCCTTAATCAGGGCCCAATCCTGCAACACATCATTGCACAAGTAGAACTCCCAAAAGCCCATGGGCATTCAATGATTGGAGGGTTGGAAGAATCAGGGTCTCAGTCTTTAATCACAAAACCTTCATCGCCTGCTACTGGAGTTTAGCCAGGATAGGTGTAAAAGGTGGAAATGTGCACACAGTAGCTTTCAGAGAGAACTTCAGGATTTGGCCTTCTATTAATTGTATTTGAGAAAAAAATGTGTATGTACAGGTTTACACTAAAGTAGACAGTAAGTCTGACAAGCATAATGCCACAGTTTTTATTGTTGTAAGTAATCATTCAATGGCACAAAGGTGAATTGTATGTAGATCCACTATAAAATGTATATTGGTTAATGCTACATTTATCTGTCAACCACAAATATTGGCACATTATGTTTTTAATGCCCTAATACTGTTTAAAAAACAAAAACAAAAATACCCCAAGACATTTTAATTGAATAATTTGTTTACCATGTTGTACAATGTGCATACAAGAAGCATCCATAATACACCTTAGATTCAAAACCTTATATGCATGTTTAATGAAAACAATATTTCTAAAAGAAAATAATGCAGAAGAATGTGCACATTATCTTGTTCTAAGAAACATTTGATTCTTATCCATTTTTGCACAGTTTGTGAGTAAGTTTCATAAGCAGAATACTGTCTTTTCTTCTGTTTGCATAATGACAGGCTGTGTTTCAGCAAAATATGTGTAAGGGACATTTAATTGTCTCCAATAAGAAACTTGTTTCATCTATGAAAACTATTAAATAAAATAAACTGACATTTAAATATATCTATATCTATTAATCATATACATAGTTTGGCTATGTAAACATTTAAAAATATAGGTCCCTGAAAGCCTAAAGTATTTATTAGACAAAAGCAGACTTTGGGTGTGATTATTTTCATATACTGACTCACTGCAGGGTCCATGACAAGAAGAGTAAGAAGTATTTATGGTAGATGATGCAAGTGATTTGCAGAAATAAGGCCCCATATCACAAGGTCTCTAGCCCCTACATTTTCAATGAAGGTATGCTTATGTTTACATTACCAATTTTGGAGTATCATTATTTGACATAAATATTCTTATTATAACATATCCTTATAACTTATATAAGAAAATTTTGTCTTTCTGTTAAGAAAACAAGCTGTATCTAGTGAACCATGGACAATACAATCATTTCTAACAAATTTTTTGATTTAAGGCCTATTGAAGTGAATCATTTTGATCTGTAAAATACTTTCATAGGCTCAGAATGACCTTGTGCAATGAAAGTATGCTTTTTGTAATTATTTAAATGATATCATTTAGTATTGCAGTTACCAGTCAATAGCCCACTGTTGTAATCACAGAAGTTACTTCTATGATGCTGCTGGTTTGATAGCATAGATGTATGTGACTTTAAAAAAAAGTTGTCCAGCTTAGTAGCAGCTTTTATATTAGTTTTTAATTATAGTCAATAGACTGTCACATGATGTTTCCTAATGTCAGTATCACTGAACAATAGCATTAAAATCAGCATTGGTGAAATTAATAAATAAAATGAGACTATGATTTTTTTTCTTTACATCAAGAAAAATTAGTATCCAAGATTGTTACTAATTATTTACATAAAGATATCAGTTGAGTTATAGCTGATGTAATAATTTATATATCAAAATTATACAAAGAGCAGCTGCATTTGTAAATACTTATCTCTTAAAGGCTTTGTGGGTTAAATATACAATTATAAAAGAAATAAATATACTACTTTAAATGTACTGTCCATCAAAACTGTAGATTAATGTTCTGAGGACATGGCATATGCTAAAAGCACATAGAAATAATGCTACCGTATTGTTACAGTACAGTACTGCTATTACATATGTACATCATATTTTAAGATATATGATTAATTAAGATCTAGTTAGAGGACATTCAAATTCTTTTTTAAAGCTTGGTTATGCTGGTAAAGGAGTAGTACTGTTGTCTTCAGATTCCAGGGAGCAGGTTACACCACTCATTCTGTAATATTTATACGTTAAGTAACTTCTGCAAAAAATTAAATTCAATAGGCAAAGTTATCTTTCTGAATAACTGAAAAGCCTTTTAATTAGGTTGTAAAATGTATTCAAAATAAATGAGATGACAGTGAGACACATTCTGATCTCACCGAAGTCATTGGGAATAGTATGACTTTCTTCAATGGGAGTAGGATCTGGCCTAATTTGTGTTAAAAATTCAGAAAATATGTTGAAAAAATGGGAAGGATATATTTCAGCATGCACCTTCAAAGAAATTGTATCTATAATAAGCTACTGTATAGCATTTTCATGTACCAGTACACCACTACCATAAAATTTGATGATTTGCTACAAAAAGTTAGGCATAATATATAACAATAATCCTATATTTATAGAGCCTGAAAAATATGAAAAAGTGGCAAAATTAATAATAATTGATAAGATTCACTTGTGTTTGCATGCCTCTCTTTTCAAGGAAAGTAGCCAGGCAATAAAAAATAAAAAGGTGCAGTGAAAAAATGGTATTGCAACCATTTAATAGTGTCTTAATGAAGCCATGCTTACTCACTTGCATAGCACTTACATGAACAGCCTTCAGGGGAACTACATGTGTGAGTAAATGCCTCTCAGTGTAAGATAGTGATAGAAATGTAGCCGTGTTAGTCTGGTGTAGCTGAAACAAAATACAGGACTATGTAGCACTTTAAAGACTAACAAGATGGTTTATTAGGTGATGAGCTTTCGTGGGCCAGACCTACTTCCTCAGATCAAATAGTGGAAGAAAATTGTCACAACCATATATACCAAAGGATACAATTAAAAAAATGAACACATATGAAAAGAACAAATCAAATTTCAGAACAGAAGAGGGATGGGGGGGGGGAAGGTAAATGTCTGTGAGCTAATGATATTAGAGGTATCTTGATATTGCAAGTTTATAGAATGTTGTCTTGAACAATGTGTGAAATATTTTTAACTTGAAGTAGTCAGGAGGACTTTCTTGAGATGTCATATATTTTGTATAATAAGATTTTCCACTATAAATAACTATAATTTTATGATAAAAATTAATTTTCTTTAGGATAGGAGCAAGCAAACTCAGGCACAGGATTGTGAATTTGTACTCTCAGTTTTGTTCCCAGCTCTGCAACAGATTTCTTGTGTGAGGTTTAGTAAGTCTCAAATACTACTTTAAACAGATATTCTACACTGGCCCCTTTTTCGAAAGGGGCATGCTAATTTTACACTTCGGAATAGGGAAATCCGCGGGGGATTTAAATAAAGATGTCCGCCGCTTTTTTCCAGCTTGGGGAAAAACCAGAAAAAAGCGTCTAGACTGGCCCGATCCTCTGGAATAAAGCCCTATTCCGGAGGATCTCTTATTCCTACTTCCTACTTTTCCCCAAGCCAGAAAAAAGCGGCAGACATCTTTATTTAAATCCCACGGGGGATATTTAAATCCCCCGCGGATTTCCCTATTCCGAAGTGTAAAATTAGCATGCCCCTTTCGAAAAAGGGGCCAGTGTAGAATTAGCCATGCAGTTCCACAAAAAATGAATGGGAATAATAACTTACCTACTTCAGAAGGGTGCTAAAGCCTTTAATCTGTTAATACCCATGTGCCAGTTTAAAAATCTCTATATAAGTATTATTATTATTATTGTTTAGATGTTGTGCACTTTATTCACACAAGTAATCTCATTCTCTCCAGTGTGACAATGTGAGTGAGCTGAGCTGAATTTGGCCCATTTTGGGAAGTATGAGTTGCTTAGCACCTCCTGAACAATTTGGAGCTCCCTGAGTGTGTCTTCTTACATCCATGCATGGACTCTATGTACATGGATACATTAGCAGTTTTCTATTGATGAACTTCACTGTGTTGTGGAGGCCCTCAATGTAATTTAAGGTGAGTGAATTTGCTGGATAGAATGACATTGTTGTGAGTATGTGGGGTGCGTATGTGCCAAATTCTAGAGTACAATGGAAGAGTGGGTCTGTATCACTCTTCCCTGAATAAGCCAATACTGATGCTGGAGGCTACATCAGAGAAAAAAGTGATTGCAGGTCCAGCCCACTGTGTAGAAAAGTAACGGTAAATTGCAATTCTATATCCTTTTGCTTGCTGATACATTAGGTATGTAGGGATTGCTTCCACTCAGGCTTTACAGAGTGTCCAATGCACAGACATCACAGGACTGGAAAGTTTAAAAAGTCTGGACAATATGTTTTGAAGAGCACAGAGATTTCTATATGGGAGATTTCTAAATCCATTCAAGAAATTCAGGCTCTCTGCTTTCAGAAAATATTTTGGAAATACCTGCCATTTAGTGCATTCTAAAGGCAAAGCAATCACTCTTTATGAGCTAAGAATAAAAGTCAGCTCTGTCAGGGTTGGTTTAGCAATTTACTGAGAGGGGTATAAACACCGGAGGCAATAATATCTTTACCACTCCATTCCCCCGCCCACCCTTCAAACTGAACATTGGTATAGAAATCTAAATAGTAATACAGTCTTGAGACTGCATGCTTTTCTGGCAGGAACTTTTTTGTTTTGTTTTGTTTTGGCATAATTTGCAATAATTATTGTGAAGTCTGTATACACTTTTTGTAGTGCTATATCTATTTATTTGTTATAAGTCAGTCATATTAATGTTATTGTAATATTTTGACACTCAGCTTTCTAGTAAATTATTTTTTGTAAATGTAATTTACTGTGTCTCCTTTGATTTTGTTTGTCTTTCTTCATCTCCTTAACTGTACTTATTATCTGGAGTTATTATACTTCGGTCATCTGAAGAAGTGGGTTTTGCCCATGAAAGTTCATGATACTATCTACATGTTTTTGTTAGTCTTTAACATGCTACTAGACTGTTGTTTTTTAAGTTTCTCCTGTTACAGACTAATTCGGCTACCCCTCTGAAGCTTAACTGTACTGTTTCTGTATATCTTGAGCATCTTTTCATTTTTTTTTGGTTTTCAGTGTTTTTCTTTCATTTCTTGCATCTTATTATCAAGCTTTTCTTCCCTGTTCCCTTTTTCATTCCTTGCGCCATGTCCGCTCCTCGCTTTTTAGTGTTTTCAGTCTCTTTTCCAATGTTTCTCATTCCTATTCCCTCTTACTTCAATAATCTTATTTTCCTTCCTAAACACTTTACACTTCCTGCTCCTGCTGCTCATACTGCTCATTTCTAGAATATTCCCTCATTCTTTCCCTCCTTTGTTACATCAAACCTATTAATTCCCCACTCCTTCATCTATCCAGTCCGATCACTCACTCACAGTCACTCTTAATCACCCTTTCCAATGCCTCCCCTCATAAACTTACCCTTTATATTGTCACACTGTCCCATGGTCTTGCTGAGTCAATATAACCTATTTGTTCTTCTATTCATTCATCTGCTCACCAACATTCATTGACCCACTGTCATTCACCCCCCTCATTTACGCTCTGGTATACTCAGCACTGAGGGTATGTCTACACTACAAAGTTAGTTCGAATTAACGAACGTTAGTTCGAACTAACTTTCATAGGCGCTACACTAGCACTCCGTTAGTTCGAATTTAATTCGAACTAGCGGAGCGCTTAGTTCCAACTAGGAAAACCTCATTTTACGAGGATTAAGCCTAGTTCAAACTAGCTAGTTCGAATTAAGGGGTGTGTAGCCCCTTAATTCGAACTAGTGGGAGGCTAGCCCTCCCCAGGTTTCCCTGGTGGCCATTCTGGCCAACACCAGGGAAACTCTTCTGCCCCCCTCTTGGCCCCGGACCCCTTAAAGGGGCACGGGCTGGCTATGGTGCCCATGCCAGGTGCAAGCCTGCCAGCACCCAGCCAGCAGACCCTGCACCTGGCACGGATCGAGCCACCCACCCGATGCCCCCCAGCCCTCCCCCTCTTCCCGGGACCAGACTGGCGGCTCCCGGGAGCTTGCCTGGGACCGCAAGAGGTGGGCACCCGCCTGGGCTAGTGCAGACATTGTGGACCTCGTCCACGATCTCCGCACTAGGCACAGGAAAGTGGCCGGCTAGGGCAGGAGAGCTGCCAGCCTGGCCACCCAGGAGCAGGTGTGCAAGAGAATCAAGGGGGTCCACTGAGACCCCCGACCCTGAGCCCTGAGCTTACAATGGCCATCCTGAGTCAGACCAAAGGTCCATCTAGTCCAGTAGCCTGTCTGCCGACAGTGGCCAACCCTAGGGACCCTGGAGGGGATGGACCAAAGACAGTGACCAAGCCATTTGTCTTGTGCCATCCCTCTCCAGCCTTCCACAAACTTTGGGCAAGGACACCACTCCTACCCCCTGGCTAATACCACTCCATGGACCCAACTTCCATCACTTTATCTCACTTCCCTTTAAACTCTGTTCTAGTTCTAGCCTTCACAGCCTCCTGCAGCAAGGAGTTCCACAGGTTGACTCTTTGCTTTGTGAAGAACAACTTTCTGTTACTAGTTTGAAGCCTGCTACCCATTCCTTTCCTTTGGTGTCCTCTAGTCCTTCTTTATGGGAACCAATGAAGAACTTTTCTGTATGCACCCTCTCCACCCCACTCATGCTTTTAGAGACCTCTATCCTGTCCCCCCTCCGTCTCCTCTTTTCTAAGCTGAAAAGTCCCAGTCTCTTTAGCCTCTCTTTAGCCCTGATCATTTTAGTTGCCCTCCCCTCTCCCAGCCTCTCTCTTCCCCTCTCCCACCTCCTTTTCCCAGTCTCCTCCAGTTTTGTTCAATAAAGACAGATTCCATTTTGGAAGACACGTTATCTTTATTTTGTACATCAAGAAGAGGGGCTAGGGAAGGGTAAGTGGAAATAGGTGAGGGAGGAATGGGGCACAAGCCCCCAACATACCCTGAGAGACTTAATAAGCTATCTGTTGGGTACTGGTGTTGTCCTGGGGACTCAAAGGTCTTATTAGTATCGACTGGAGAGGCCTGTTATTGGATAGGTCACATAGACTCAAGTTGCTGCTCTCTTTGTTGGGGATGAAATTATAGGTGTGGCAGCTACCGCAGGCCCCAGGGCAAGCTGGGAGGGCAGAAGAGGCATGACCTAGGGTAGACAACCCTTAATGCTTCCTGGACTGCCACACTGCCCTTCAGCCCTCAAAGCCATGCAAAGAAGTAGAATGGTGCTCCTGTGGCATTTCAAAGGGGCCCTGGGCTCCAGTCACTGTCGCCTACGCCAACGTAGCAATGGTGGCAGCCAGGAGCTCTGGACCCCTCTGAAACATCAGAGGCCCGTGCAGTTGCCCCCTTTGACATCTCCTTTTAGTGGGCTTTGGTGGAGAACACTCTCGTGTGCTGCTTTGATGCCAAGTGGGAGGACTTCCTATCAGCAGTACAGGATAAGAAACCCAAATGGGCCAGCTTGTATTCCATCCTGGTCCCATGGCTATTAGTTGGTGGTTCCTTCATGGAACTGTGAGCAAGGGTATTTATCTATGTGATTCATTCCCCTCACTAACACCTGTCCCATCTGTGATGTGTGGAAGACTCTGGTGCACATCAGTCTTATCCCTTTTCTAGCTCCTTCAGAACATTCTTCTTGAGTTGTGGCTGCACTTTTCTCACACCTGCTGATTAATGCAAACCTTGTCTGTGGCCTGCTTGTCAATTTCCTCCTTGTGGGCATCTGCCAGGAATAGCATATTGGTGCAAGTGCGCTGTGCCTGTGAGGCCTAATTCCTCTCCTCCCTTTGATCATGTATCTGGGCAGAGTTCCTCTGGACCACATATGCTGGCTCCCTAGACACCTTCAAGGAGCAATGGATGCTGTCTTGGGTTCTCTACTTGGTGTCCCCTTGTGAATTCTTGATTTTGGGCCTATGACATCACTCATGTCCCCGATTTTCATTTGTTGTGTCGTCGTCCCCCAACTTAATGAGGCCTAGGCTAGGTAGATGGGGAAGAGGCCATGATATGTGGGTGGGCATCCCTGGAATTCTATAGATTGGAAGGGCGTGCAGAAGTGGGCCCTAAGAAAAGCTATTGCTCCCTGTGCAAACTTCCTGCATCACCAGGGTACTTCTACACAGCAGGTCTAAAGCTGAAATAAGCTACACAACTTGAGCTATATCAATTGTGTAGTGTAAGTCAAAATAGCTTATTTCGGGTTTGGGCGCTGTCTACACAGCAGGAAGTTTGAGGCAGAGCACTCTTTCTCCGACTTCCCTTACTCCTCGTAAAATGAGGGTTACAGGCATTGGAGTAAGAAGTCCTCCAGCTCGACATTATTTTGACATTATGTTGAAATAACTGCTTGTAGTTAGACGTGGACTATGTTATTTCGGAATAACATTAGTTATTCCGAAATAAAACTGCTGTGAGACATAGCCCCAGATTTGAGATAACAGATGGCACTGCTGTACAACAGAACAGCTTATGCCTAGTAGCACCCAAATCCCATGAGAGTTGCAGATTGAGAGGAGAAATGTTCAACTTTCAAGTCTAGGTGTTCACAAAGCTGAATGAGGGTTTGTACTTGAGTGTTGAATTTTCTCCCACATGCTTATTTTCAAAATATGATTAACTATGTATTTTCTATTGTAACTCTAAGATCTTTTTTTCACATTATGAACAATTAAAACATTATGAGGCACATTTTTCTCAGCCTATCTTGTGAAGCCCTAACGATTTCCTGGGAAGGAGCGATTCTGAAAAAGATTTGTGATCACGATGGATAATCTGCTGAACATGAGCTTTTTAGCCATGGTATAAAAAGACTAATGCAGTCCTGAGATCTGCAAAGGAATCTTGAGTAAATGTAGAGAGGTTATTTTATTTCTGTATTTGGCACTGGTGCAAGTGCTGCTGCCATACCGTGGTTAGTGAAGAAGGAAATTGACACATGGAAGAGGATTCAGGAGAAAAGTCATGAAATAAAGGTTGAAAAGCACTGTTCTAAAATATATTTTGTAGAAATTATGGGGGGGGGAGGAGTTATAGGTACTGTTTAATACAGGAGGTGAGACTAGTGGTTCGTCTACACAGCAGTGTTATTTTGGAATAACTAATGTAATTCTGAAAAAACATAGTCTGCGTCTACACTACAAACAGTTATTTCCACCTAATACCAAAATAATGTTGGGCTGGAGGACTTTTTACTCTGACTCCTGTAACCCTCATTTTATGAGGAGTAGGGGAAGTTGGAGGGAGAGTGTTCTTTCTCAGATTTCCTGCTGCGTAGACAGCACCAAAAGCTGAAATAAGTTATTTCGAAGTAAGCTACGCAATTGATGTAGCTCAAATTGCGTAGCTTATTTCAGCTTTAGCCCTGCTGCGTACACACGCCCTAGATATCCACAATAGTCCTTTCTGGCCAAATTCTGCCCTGATAGGCACCAGTAGGCCAAATTATATGGAAGCCCTGTGCAAGGCTGTCTGTGTCACAGAAGTCACACTGAACTCTTGAATAGTTCACAAAGCAAGATTTCTGAGCTTCATATGCAAAGAGGTGCTCTTCAGACTGCTTTTCATGTGAACATGCATGGAGGGATAGTTCTTCCATGTTATGTGGAACCAGTGTCCAGAATACCTAGCATATGGGGGAGTGGTGGGAAAGCAGCTCATAATCTGAAATAGAAACCCCTGAGGGACTGGTATATTCTGTCTTCACCAACCTCCATTCGATTTCCACTACTATTTATCTGGGTTTTCTGCTAAGAGATCAGTGATTTTCATCCTGTTACATGTGTGCAATTGTATTCTTTGGTGTTCATAATAACAGTGAAATATTTTGCACCTTTATATGGGTTAGCTAGCTAAACGTGTTATATAAGTGCATGAAAAATGCTCCTTTGCTATTTTATGGAGGCTGGTATATTTTCAGACATGACCACCTACATTTATGTTAAATCAAATCTGCTGACTGTATGTAGGCTAACGAAAATGACTAATATAGCTGTAGGCACTGTAGTGACCTGTTAACCTGAATTTCATTTCTAAATCTTTCAGCACTTAAAATTTAATTTAGTCACCCAGGTGTGTTTTGGCAATTAATTCTCATTTTATTTATTCATTTTTCTATTTATTTTTGCAAGCTTCTACCCAGAATAAAAATAAATTACACATTTTAATGAAAGAGATTATCACTGCTGTGTGTAAATTCCACAAGTGAAAATGTATAATTCAGAAAGATTTCTTACATAAGGAGACTACTAATGTGTGTACATTTTTGCAGATTTGGGCCCTAGGAATGAATGAGACTACTTTCATGGGTAGAGTTACTGATGTAAGTATTTGTTTGAAGGACTGGGCCCAGATACAGTATAGCAGTTTGCAGACATATTGCTTCAGGATGAATGCAGGTATTTTCAAAAAAGTCATTTTGCTCACTAGTATTCATTAAATGTATGTCATAATTACATACTGTATGTTTCAACTATCAATATAAATATTTTAAACAAACTTTAGACATTGTATTTTTGGAATAAACATCATTCACACAAACTTCAGTTATTCAGAACAAAAGGAAGCAGTGCTAACTTGCAACCATTATGCATGTGAAAGCACTATTGACTTCAGTTAAGACTACTCATGTGATTAAAATTTCTTATGTTCTTAAGAATTTGTAAATTGTATTTTAATAATGTCATCTCTCTATTACAAAAAAAAAATCCTGGCTTTCTCAAAAAAGATAAAGATTATGAAAAGGTGATAAATGATGTCATCACTCACCAAGATTGTGCTAAAATGCCAATTTATGTGAATCTGCAAAATTGTTAATGAGCAGACACATGAGTATGTTAGAAAAACAAACACTCATGCTAATTCAGTGCTCTTCTTTTAGGGCTAGAGCAGGAGTTTCAAACTCCCCATCCTTGGGCCATCTACAGGCCAGAGCGTATTTGCAATCTAGCCCAGGAGACCTGGTATCCCAGGGCAGACGTGTGTGTCCAAACCTGTCACCCAAACTCCACCCCTTCTTGCCACCACCTTGCCTTCTTTCCCCCATGCCACCTCCCAGACTTGGGGATTGCTGAGTGAGGGGGGAAGGGAGAAGAGAGCTTACTACAGGGCGGCAGCTGTGCTTGGGCCCCTCTACACAAACCGTGGTGGTGGGAGCTATGGGAAAGTGGAGTGAATGCACCCAGGCTCCCCCAGTAATCAATGTTCCCTCTAATCTTTTCCATCCATTAGTGGAATAAAATTTGTTATGTGCATGGAGGCATTTGTGAATGTGCACCACCAGTAGAAACAAAACCTAGCTGTGGGCCCTTTGCTAATCAACTGGGCAGCATTTGAATCTCTTCTGAATGGCCACATAAGTGCACAGCTTACAGGGAACATTGCTGGTAATCCCCAAGGCCAGATCCCTCAGGGGACAAGGTCTCATGGGGGAAGAGGGCAGGACAGTGGCAGAAAAAGGTAAAGCTTGGGTGCCAAGATTGAACATGCACCCCCAGCCTGCCAGGACTCCTGGGCTGCATTGCAAATATACTCCAGCCCGTAGAAGATCTACAGATTAGGAGTTTGAAACACCTGGGCCAGATAGTGTTTATATAACCAGCTCTGACAGTAGGGATGTCACTATGTAAGTCTATACTATGGGGAAAAGCCAACCTAAGTTATGCCACTACATAGCTCCAGGTACATGGGATCAATGTAACTTAAGTCCACCTATTGCGGTGTCTACACTACATTGGGTTGATAGGAGAAACTCTCCCATTGACTTACCTTACGCCTCTTGTGCTGGTGGAGTACCAGCGCCAACGGGACCATTTTCGGTGGTTGATTTAGCCCCTGGTGGGTTGATTGCTGTAGCATCGATTCCCCCAGTAATGGAGACATACCCTATGTCTTCTTTTTCTTCCTATGTGCAGTAATCTCCATCTTCTCTGTCAAAAGGGACTACCCCCTGCCACAGCTCAGCTGTGAGTTGTGGGCATAGCGACAAGACTCTGTTCATTCTCCAGAACTTTCTGCCCACTTCATGTCCAACATGCAAATATTAAAGATATTGGACCAGATAGTCCATTAACAAACAAACAAACAAACAAACAAACAAACAAACAAACAAACAAACAACACCTTTGGGAGAGGAAAACTCAGTGGAAATGCCATAGGGTTCTTCTCATAGTTTCATATGAATTCTCCAGTTCAAGAGAAGGAATCTGCAGCCTAGTGGAATAGGGATGAAATGAGACTTTGAAACTTAACAGATCCCAAAGGGAACTATGAAGGCAAGAAGTAAATGCAAGAACATAGGAAATCTCAGGCTCGCAGTAGGGCTCTCTACATGAGTGGCAGTCTGATGCCTTTAACCAGGCTGTTATTGGTAAAACCTCAACTGAATGTGCACTACTCCATTTGGAAAAAGATGAAGAAGCAATGAAAGAGCATCAGTGCTGATGGAAGGAAATTTCCCAGCTGCAACTACCAAAGGAAGCATGCCATAATCTGCTCATTAGCTTTGAACCATTTCTGCTTCCATTTTGCAGAGCCAGTTGATACAGATTTATGGCAAAGAGATTCCTCAGGTATTCCTTTCTCCTTTATAAAGCTTTTCTTTCCCTGGTTTTGATCCTCCTTACATAAAGGGAAGGGAGCATCAGGCTGATTTCTCTTACCTGATGCTTTTAGAGACTTTTGCAGATTGTTGGGTTTTATATTTTGGTCTTTTTTGTGACTAAGATATTTTGTCCTCTAGACCTCTCTGAAGTTTACAGTTGTTTACAGCAAAACTTCTAGCTAATGTGTTATAAATAGAAAAACAAAACAAAAAACCTTACACCTTCCCCAAAGATTTTTACCAATGAGTAAAAGCTTTTACCAAACATGGTCTCCTAAAAAGAGAAGATGTTTCAGTATTTGGTTCCTCAATCAAAAAACACCAAAAATATGTAAATTTTTGAAAAATATAAAAAATAGTTGAAATCTCCATCAAAAAATAATGGGCATTTATCAACCATTTCAAAATATTCATCTCTTCCTCTTTCTCTAACAAGTGGTGCTAGAATAACTTGTGTAGTGGGACTAAGTTATGAAAGCTATTGTACCAGACTGTAAACCCTGTATATGATGGAAGTCAATTCAAGCCTAGGGGAGCAGCAGTACTCTCATGATCCCTACTTCCAGCACCCTTGTGTCTAACTGCTAACACTTCCTGTTTTCTACTTGGAAGTAATTTTTGCCCACTGGGTCCTTTTCCCTCCTCTTTTCTCTGGTTCTAATGGTACTATGGCCCAGTGGGACTTGAGTTTTTCTCTATACCCTTCGGATCTGGTCCCAATTAAAGTTCCTCAACTAACCCTTTGTCTGTGGAAGATGGTTATGATCTACGATGGATGTCAAACCATATTCTTCTGTCCCACCTTTCTCAACATAACCTGGCCTCGCTTTCTCACAATCCCATGCAGGGAGTTGGGACTAGGCTACAGTCACGATAAACCACCATTAGTAAAATGAATTAAATAAATATACCCGGCCTGCTTGATTTACTTTAAATTACAGTGACACAAGCATGCTGCTTGTCTGGCCAGCTGGCTTGGCTGAATCTACCGGCTGCTTTCCCTCCCCCCCAAAAACCCCCCACAAACATGTGGCACTCTGTAACCAGGAAATATTCTTTTCTGACATCAAGTTGGCATACAACTAAGATTCAATGCAAACCAGGGATGCCAGTACATTAAACCTACTCTCCCCTCCCCAGTTAAATGTAATGCTGACATGTCATTCACATAAACATAACCAAATGAGGAGAGTGGTGAAGATCAGGAGCAGAATGACCCTTGCGTAATCAGAACACTTGCATCCCTTTTGCCCTAGAGGGAAAGTGAGGACTAGAGCCAGTGAGGAACCAGTGGCATACAAATGCACTGGCTGTCATGGGGGTGGGAGAGTATCTTCCAAACTCATTTCTTCTCTGAAGACCTCCTGTTAAATGTAGAGCGAATGTTGGGGTTTGGAGTTTGGGAATTAGCCCAATAGTCTCCTCTGACAACTGTGCCAAAGTCTTTCCGGCACATCGAAATTCCTATTGTTCCTGAATTTCAACATATAGCATTTCAGCCCTCTTCTGTGTACACCTGGATGAAAGTCTGCTACCAATCGATGGTCCTTCTTTCTTGATTCTTCACTGCATGTGACAGCGTACATGTTCTGTGTGATCAGTCTCCTTGGGTTGCTGTAACCTTGCTCAGCTCGAGCATTAGCAAAGGGATTCCATTACTTGCATGTATTAATGATGCTTTGCCACAAAAGGCTTTGTAGTGCTCTGCTGCACATTGAGCCTATCTTAATAATAATACACATTAATGCTAAAGGCATATTTAATCTACAAAACGTAACCTTTAGGAGAATTTTTGTTTTTCATTAAAGAGACACTGCATTCCAAATTCAAATTAATCTTCCCTACTGTATGTTAAATAATCACATGTTATTTATAGCAATAAAAAGTACATGGTACATTCAAATAAAGAAAAACATTGCTTCATAACAACGTGGCTTGTGCCTTCTTTGGCTGCATATGCTTATATGAAGTATTTGATCAGTGGTGACTGGCTTTGTTTTGCTCTGTACTTTGTTTTGTAAATGCCAATGCAAGCCTGATTAGAATGCTGAACATATCGTTAGCACCATCACTAATAAGTGAACGTTCCCTGATGCTTATTAGCGGGCTCTAGCCATGTGGTGAAATTGTCAGTTAAATGCTTGTAGTCTGAACAGAGGAAATGACAAGCAATGCTGAAGGTCCAGCTGCAGTGAATGTCTCCACTGTAGCTGAAATCACTGGAATGGTGAAACCAGTTTAGGTTCAAGGTCGCTGCTGACATTCAGCTGTCATGGCCTTATTGTCTGCATGCCTTCTCTCCATTGACACATTCAAGGGTACTTTATAGCAACCACAAAGAACCAGTCAATTGATACCATTACACTTCATGCACACACAAACCACAAGCTTGTTCAGGACTGTTGATACAGTTGAACATTTATTCATTAATGGAGCCATTGAAATTGCAACATGCCCAACCCCACTTCTAACAACGTACACTTAGTTGTTTAGTCCAAACATTTAGCTATGTCTTTTTCAAGTTTTGCACAGCACTCTCTAATTGAGGTAACATTATCTGCATTTTAATGCTAGGTCATTTGTGTCCAATGAAAGATTACCTGAAGAACACTGCCATTTACAACACCAGTTTAAATACAAGCAGTTGCAAAGAAAAAAATATACACAAGAGAGTAAAAGGGAAAGGGAGATATTTATTTGTTCTCAAAGTGCCATGGAAATCCAATTGCTCAGAAATGAAATAAGAGTTGATTGTGAAAAAGGGGAAAACATAAGGTTGGATCAGGGAAGAGATGATTGGATCTATTGTTCAGGACTCTTTGAGCTTCAATAGTTCTGCAGAAAAACTTACTAATGAATTTACTGAAGCTTACCAGAACTTTGTGTGGAAGATAATTTAAGTTATGGTGATTATTTAAGGCCTGGTAATAAAACAAAGGGTTATAGAAAGAGCACATATGTGTCTTTATTAACTACATACCTATAAATGCCAATACATGTTTTAAATATGTTTATTTCACAAATATACTTCTAAATGCTGTTTTTTTATTTAACATGTAAATGTTTTGAGAAATAATCAGATTAAAGTCATGTACAATGGAGCAAAAAAAGATGTAAATACAAGCTAAATCCAAAAATGCAGGCCTACTGGTAGGTATTAAAAGGGAAATACTCTGAAATTCCTGAGTACTGCTATTGATATTTGCAGAAACAGGGCATTACTGAATGAAAGTTTGGGTTTATTTCCTTTACCTTCTTTACACTATATTAAATTTAGTTTATTTAAAAGTTTGGCTTGGTAGCTGATCAAAGCCTTGAACTATATGTAGAACTCTTAACTTTGCAACCACACTTACTTTTGCATACACC